ACCTCAGACTCTCTCACTACTGTCTCCTTTACCTTCAGACTCTCTCACTACTGTCTCCTTTACCTTCAGACTCTCTCACTACTGTCTCCTTTACCTTCAGACTCTCTCTTTACCAGACTCTATCACGCCCTGTGTTGTGACTGTGACCCCACATTGCAGATGATTTGTTCTGCAGCCAGTGTCCTACTTTTGAGAAGCTTCTGTCCAAACACCTCTTTGCCATGTGTGTACTGTGTGATGTGTATGTGTGTCATGTTAGTTGTGCATTGTAGTGTTGCATGTGTATGTGTTGCATTTTTGTGGGTGTGCGTATAAGTGTCGCGTGTGTGTGTGTTGCAGTGTATTGTTCATTTATGTTGTGTGCATGTATATTGTGCCTTTGTTGTGTGTCAGTGTAGTGTGTCATTTTTTTGTGTCCATGTGATAATTGTGCCGTGTATATTTGTCCATGTGTATGTGTTCATTGTATTGTGTGCATGTATATGTGTGTGCTGTGTATGTGGTTCATGTGTATGTGTGCATGTGTATTGGCGCCTTTATATTGTGGCCGTTATAGGTGAGAGCGTGTATATTGTAGCATGTATATGTTGTTTGCATGTTTATATTTGTGCACGTGTGATAGTTTGCCGCTATGTATTTGTGTGCACTGTATAATTTGGTGGTATATGTGTTTTTGGTTGTGTATATGTGTTCCGTTAATATGTTGCACTGTATATTGTTGGTGTGTATAGTTTGTTTGTTTATATTGGCCTTATATGTGTGCGCTCGGTATATTTTGCTATATGTCAGTGTAATTTCGTGTAGATGGTTTGTGGTACATTGTTGTGTTGTGATATGGTTCGTGTTTTGTGTTTGTTGTGGTGTCTGCACGTGTATAAGTTCACGTGTATAGGTGTGGCGCTTATATTCAAGTGTATATGTTGCGCGTCTATATGGTGACTTATTTTGTGCACATAATATGTGTCGCGTCATATTTGCACTTAAATGGTCATTGTATATGTGTTGTGTATATGTGTTTGTGTGT